ACTTAACTATGGTAGGGCCATGCAAGAGTGTGCGCTGTTGCACGAATCCACAGAGGACCGGCGTGAAGTAGAATTGTTACACTTCTGCGTTTCGTCTGGTGGATGAGGTAGACGAATCCACAGAGGACCGGCGTGAACTTCTGCGTTTCGTCTGGTGGATGAGGTAGACATGGACCGCTTTATTAAAAGGTTGCAACGCTTCTGCAACCCTACGGGCGTTGCAAATGTCCGGGGCGACGGTTACCACTTAACATCAGATGAACCGCCAGCTCATTTGCCACTTTCTCTATTATTTACTAACAATTTATTGATGTCAGTACGGCCGTAATAGATATTAAACATAACTCGTGGTCGCCCAGTGGTCGAAATTCGACCGTAGTTAATTATACGTTGTAGTGTGTATAATGTTATTTATTGATTTAATGTATTTTTATGTGTAAAAATTATGTATGAAAATTCATATTTCTCCGCCCGCGCAATTTTCGTAAAAAGAGGTACAAAGTTTTTGTTTCTCGTATTTATATATAGATTGACTAGCTGCTGCCCGCGACTGCGTCTGCGTAGAGGGTTGAAAATTTAGAGTTGCATGTATTATTGTATCACAAAAAACTAAAAGCAAAAAACTTAAGATTTAAGAGGATGAAAAATAGATGTCGTCAGATTCTCCATTCTGGCCGATATGCACACAAAATTGCACGAAAATCGGTCGAGCCGTTTCGGAAGAGTTCAATTGCAAACACCGTGACACGAGAATATTTTATATTACATTACTAACGAACAGTGGGTACCACTTCTTATGAAACGTTGTTGTTGTTAATGTTGTTACATAAAAATTAATACGTTCGTAAGTAAGCTACCACCGCTACAGTTGTTGCAGTAATCTAAGCAGATCCACATCTAAATGTATTAGCGGAATCCACTACGTCTGTGATCGTTGCATTCCGATTAATGCACGTTCACGTACAGATTCCATGCGTTACAATATCTTAATATTGAGATAAACTTATACATTGTATAATAATATCGAGTAAAATAGCATTTAAATATTAGTGTTATATATATACTAATAATGGAATCGGAATGTTCGTCTGTAGCGTCCTCGTAAACTTGTTTTCTAGTAGCCATAATTAAACACCAAACAAATAGTAATTATTTAAATAGCAAACAAACTTTTTGTTGAAATAAGATTAGAGTATATAATAGGATATATATGGGAGTATTGAGAATATATGTATAGAATAAGTATAGAAATTAAAATTATAATATACTACGTATTGTTACTGAGCGATATTGCGGGTAGAAGTGTGTGAAATGTAACAAAGCGAAGATGTACTATAATGCTATGAGTTGCGGTTAACTGCATAAAAATATGGCGAATGAATATAATAAATAGCCTTTAAACGTAATTAATAATGTTCAAAGTAAATTGTAAATTGTATATGCGGCTCGAGAAGGGACCAAAAAGGGTTGTAGGAAAAGTTAAGTACCTGGAAGCTGGATTGGAGTTGTCCTTAGATATCTCAGTTTGAACGGCGGTCACTGGTCTTTTCCCACAACACTTTGCTATTAATTTTTGAGTTTAAGATACTAGCGTATTCACCACAGCGCTGTCGTGATTGAAGTTTTTATGCGTGCGATGCGAGCTTTGAGAAAGAGGTCAATCTTCATTTCTTCGGGCTTTTATAAGAAGAAAAATGGAGGTATATGGACGGATATGAATATTATTGCCAGTATTGAGTGGTGTGTGCGTTATAATGCAATTAAATATAGTTGTGAAACGTATTTATATACTTTTTATAAATTATTTTTTAAAATAAAATGGCGTAGACATATATTATACATAATATAATACCAATAATATATATACTAATAACTGTTAATTTCATCTATCGATAGTCATTTTTAAAACTACTACCGTCATGTTAGGAGGTTCCTCTAACGGAGAAGAAACAGGAAACTATCGAGGACCTTACCAAAATTGAAGTACCCATGTAGTTTTCAACCTAAAGATAATCATAAAAACTTTGGATAAGACTATTGCAATAATTTTCGCCGCTGTGAAGATACTTTAATCTACAACTTCATAATTTTTATCTTGAGTCAATAGACGAACACTAAAAATTTAACAATTAGGATAATCTTCGGCTTTATTTGTAGTTCGAAAATCGGTCCACATCTGCCCGACTTCCGGTTAATTGCTTTAAAAGCTGTCGCTTCCAGGTTCCGCGTCGATTATTTTATAAATGGCCACGACATTAGAAGGGCGGCTGGAGGGCCCTGCGCGGGAAATTGAATTTCCAACGGAAGTGTTTTTTCCCGCACTAATTGCCCACTCTGTTGTTCGAGTGGAATTCATCTCTGCAGAAGTGGTGTGTAGTGTTATCGTGCGCTGACACAATAAAACTTTGCACGCGGTATTTACTATCAAGAAATATTCAACGTCGGTTCTGTAATTTGGTACATTGACATCGTAACGAACGGTCGGTAGGTAACTTCATCATCATCATCATCATCGTCAGCCCGTATCAGCTCACTGCTGGGCATAGGCCTCCTCCCTCTTGCGCCATTCTTCCCTGTCTTGAGCGTATCGCATCCATATTTTTCCTGCGATCGCTTTGATATCGTCGACCCATCGGGCAGGTGGTCTGCCGACGCCACGCCTTCCTTCTCGAGGTAGGTAACTTAGTGTTGGATTATTTATTACATGCCTCTTTCTCTAATCACTAGTACATCTTCCTTATAAATGCCATCGGGAACTTTTTATCGTGCGTGAAATAATGATTAGTGAGATGTGTTGCAAAAATCGTTTGTGAAAAACTTTCATCAAGAGAAATTTTACTGTAGTTAGTGCATTCCACACCAACGATTCCATTGCCGTCTTCTGCCGACTTTATCAAACTTCATCGGGTACAGTGTTCTAAGGAAGATTCGTCCACTTGCTTGACAGACCCTACCTATGCAAAGTCACACATGGACGCGGACACGCGTTAACAAAAAGGAGATCGCAGTTTGTGAGGACGTCGAGATGCAATATGTAGACGGTATGTGTAAGGTGTACGGATGCAATGTCGGTATGTGTAAGGTTATCAGGCAGGCCTCCTGTGGTACTTTCGTACCCTTCCTCGATCACATTATGGGAAAGTTCCATTGATGACGCTTGCAAAAAGAACATTACCACTAAGCTCTCTACCACTTACCCTATGCCAATGTATCCTGTTGGCAGAGGGGTAAGTGGTAGAAGGAATATTGTACGAGTAATCAAGTCTTCAAAAAGAACACTAATAAGATAGTGAAATACATAAAATTTAGTATTATATAAACATTTTATTATTATTTTTACATAAGTTTTAGTAATATATATACATTTTAGTATTATAGCCTATATTTGTAGGCTATAATACTAAAATTATTTAAAATTAAAAAAAAAAGTGTCTTTAGTGGAAAATATACTTATCAAGAAAGTATGTTTCCGAGTAGTAGTAATTTTTTAATTTATTTTATTTTTATTTTTATTTTAAGGTAGTTTTAGTAAGGTTAGTTGTATTATGTATCCTCTCTGTTATTTTCTGTATCTCCCGAAAGAGTGATGTAAAAGCTTGTATGACGACAAAAATAAACTGGTTTTTTTTTCTCTGGAAATCTTGAATTGCTCACGATGAAATTCGAAAACGCCTGAGTGCTTTATAGTCTATAAAGAGCATTATAAAAGCAGAGTGTATACAAACAAATGACTATCATCAAAGCGTAAGTTGGCCTTAAACATAATTCATAAATCCACCCACATCGTACAGTATACCGTTTCGAAAATAAACAAGTGATCCAGCTAAATTAGTGCTATTTTCTTCGCTTGTGAACCGAGGGCATTCTTATTTATATGTCTTAATTCCCTGTACAAACTTTAAGTCAAGTTGTGTCTTTGTGTATCTTCAAAAGTGTTTTCAATTTGACCCTTTTTGGAATATTAATTTCAATGTTGAAATTAAAAGTTCCCCATCATTGTAAACAACAGAAGAGAAAAACTGTATTATTTCAAAAATTGACTAACTCGGTCTAGATTTTAACAAGGTCGCGGAGACGTTGTTAAAATCTAGACTTCCACAAAGCATGCGCTAGCCAAAGACGAGTTTGGAGTGTCAGGCCAACATAGCTTTGTATTCAGCTCTCAACTTTAATAGTCGGCGCGTGACTAATTAACAGAAGGGAGGGCCGGTAACCCTATAACGACAGTATATAACGGGCACAGTTCATCGAATCATCCGTTATACTTCAGTATGACCTTAAATTTCAGATCTCTCGGATTTTAGGGGAAGGAATCGGTGTCCTTTGCTAGTATTTTTCTGCTTTCTCGCCTTATTGGCGCAATATGTCAACCGTGTCAAAACCGCGCCGTAAAAACCTATCCAGTGTTAATGACACTGGATAGATTTTTACGACCGGCGGCCTACGTGATGTCAACACACCTTGGGAATAAACCCAAATCCGACACAATTATCTGTGGGTCACACAAAAACTTATCCCGTGTGGAAATCGAACCCACGACCCCGGGTATTGGAGCCAATATACTTTAACGAAGTGTGGAACCGACCAGTATGAGTGCGAATCATAAAGAAGGGTGTAAAACTTTTTAAGGAACTATGTAACTGACCGGTATAAGCGCGAATTTCAAAGAAGGGTGTAAAATTTTTTAAGGAAGTGTGTAACCGACTAGAATAAGCGGAATTTTAAAGAAGGATGTAAAACTTTTTAACCGACTCCAAAAAAGAAGGAGATTTCTCAATTCGACCGTATATTTTTTCATGTGTTTTCGCGGATATCTTCGTCGTTTGTGGTCCGATTTTGATGATTTTTTTTGTTAGAAAGCAGATATCCAGCAGACATCCGAGAGGAATGAGGGCCATCCTCAAATGTTATAGGTATTAACAATGTGTTCGGTTTCCTGTTTGAATACAGTTTTTTTTTTTTTGTTAAAAATTATATTTTTAAGCTAGGGCATAACTTACCAGTATAAGCGCGAAGAGCGGCAACGGCGCGTGGTGCGTGGCCATCAGGGTGCCGGCGCCGAGACAGTGGGTGACCAGCACCGAGCCCGTCAGAGCCAGCGCCTCCCACTCAGCAGCGGCCGGCAGCAGCGCCATAGCGAGCACGACCAGCAGCACGAAGGTTATCACCGAAAGCGTGGCGATGGCCTTCACCTGCGACGATAGCTCCTGGAACAAAGGCGTAATATACTTTTAGGACACATGTTTACGAAACACTCTCTAGTCCCAAACTAAGCAACGCTTGTACTATGGGTACTAGATAACTGAAAGCATCTTACTAAAGTTTATTATTATTATTAATAAAGTTGACCACAGTTACCAGTTACCTAAAGTTGGGTCCAGGTCGGCAACGCAGTTGCTAATATATTGGCTCCAGTGCACGGGGTCGTGGGTTCGATTTTCACACGGGACAAGTAATTGCATGTCCCACAGATAATTGTGTCGAATTTGGGTTTATTGCCAAGGTCTGTTGACATCACCTAGGCTGCCGGTCGTAAAATCCTATCCAGTGTCATTAACACGGTTGACATATTACGCTAATAAAGCAAGAAAGAAGAGGAAATCCTAGCAAAAGAACACCAATTCTTTCTGTATAATCTTCTTTTGTAAATAAATACATATTATACATATAAAAACACCCAGACACTGGAAAAACACTATGTTCATCGCACAATATTTTTCCAGTAGTGGGGATCGAACCCATACACCCTGGCGCAAGAGGCAGGTACATTACCCATTACGCCAATGGGGTCGTCAATATTAGATACTAGCTGCTGTCCGCGACTACTTCTGCGTAGAATAGGCTGAAGGCGTAACATTCAGATAGAACGACAGATATATATATAATATGTATATAAATTATAGCCTATGTCTTATTCTGATGTATAAGCTATATTGTAAAGTTTCATTAATATCCATTCAGTAGTATTTGCGTGAAACAAACATCCATCCATACATACTAACTTTCGCATTTATAATATTAGTAAGGATTATAAAGAGAGAATTTTTATATAAGGATGAGTCCATGCTAATGACGATACGGAGTTTCTTTGGCCTGTTTCTTCTTCGTTACGGGAACCTCATTACGAAACGGTGGTAGATTTAAAAAAATGACTATCGATAAATGATATGTATATTTCTTATTTCGATGAATAAATGATTTGATTTGATTTGATTTGGTTACACTGATCACTTCACCGAGCGCATCTCCAATTCTCCATCTCTTTTTTTATCGGGGGGGAAATGCATACGCATAACCGCCCTCGCAAGAGCGGGTACTTCAAGACTCGCACCGACTGCAGTCCCCATGATGTTCCACCCAGGTGCACATCGGCAGGGTCACGGGAACTTTCGCGACCCTGCCTCAGCTATCCTTTCTCGGCCTCCGCCTAAGCCCCCCGCCTCGTCAAGGCGAGAACCCTATGTAAGCTTGCGTACAATGTTAGCACATTCATGCTCTGCGATGGTGGCCCATTGCACTCGTTGGACACCTTGGCCCACTAATAACTTCAAATAATATAGTGTGGTCGTCGAAATCTTGTACTAAAGTCGTATTTCGATAATTTAAAACATAGTCTAGTATATCACCATTCGGTGAGTGATTATCGTACTGTGCAAAAATTTCGCACGGCTAAACTGGCGGATAAAAAATAAACATCCGAACAGAAATACTGAAATGTTTTTCTTGTCTGAGCTAGAATTGATTCACGTATCCGTTAATATTTATTGCATTTCTCCGTTACATCTGTTTCGCGTCGACACGTGTTCAGAAGCTTCAAGTAAATTATTCTCTATTCCCAGACGCCCGGATCAAATTTAATATCGGTACTGAGTGCAATATATTTGTATTAGGAATTTATTTGTTTCATTAATCAGCATGCATATACATCTATTAGATCATGTATGTATAGAGTGTGACAGCCGAAGTGGACCGCAATATAGATTGATTTAACCCAATATATGTTCAGCTGAATTTAGCCGAATGAATCTAGATTTATTTTATTATTGTTCAATCCTTACTAATATTATAAAAGCGAAAGTTTGTATATATGGATGGATATTTGTTAGTCTTTCACGCAAATACTACTGAATGGATTTTAATGAAACTTTACAAGTCATTAGAATATCACATAGGCTTTAATAATTTATATACATATTTTTATGTATATCTGTCTTTCTGTCTTCATGTTACGCCTTCAGCCTATTCTACGCAGATGGAGTCGCGGGCAGCAGCTAGTAAATGATGAAAATCAGATTTAAAACTGGAATTGCCCTGTGCATCCCAAATAATGGGTAAAAACGAGTGATTTTTTTAACAAGTTCAATAAACTTTTGTACCATTATGCTTTTTTTTGTTAACAGCTAAAAGTTTAAAGTTTCTATTCGGTTGTTGCGCACGCTGGGCCGATCTGTGTAAGGCTAACCCAAGGTGTCCATATGAGTTCGTTGAGCCCACCCTGGATGCGGGCAGGGTACGGAGTCACGACGAGTGGTAGAGGCAGGGTCACTTTCACTGTCATACCAAACAAAGATGGAGTCGTGGAGGAAGTGGAGTGTTCGTATAACGTTTGGCCACTTCCTCTATACTTTTTTACATTGTAAATAAAACCCGCCAAGTGCGATTCACTTAGGCGCATGAAGGTTTCCGTACCGTTATCTATAAAAACGGCAAAAAAAATCATGTCTGTAGTATGGGAACCGACTTAAATATTTTTTTATTCCGTTTTTTTAGTATATATGTTGTTATAACGGCACAAAGGGCAACGAGACCGTTGTGTGGGACTTGTTACAGTTTAAAATCAATAAAACACGGTAAAATCCGTATAATAGCTTTGTTTAATCGTGAATAAAATTTGCGTAGAAAAAGAAGTCATTGGTAGACTCACTTAAGGGACTTGGTTCTCCCCCAGAGAAAGGATATAATCGAAGCGAATTGTATTACTTAATTCAGAGTATGATATAAAACGAGGCAAATTTAACGAACCCCTTAGCGGCTCCAACTCATTAGAGACTGCGAAAAGCCAATGATTTTTGATATGAAAGTAATTTCCTCTTTGCTTTTACACATCATTTTCATATACATTGTTTGTTGTGTGTTTTATTTTTGGCAAAAAAATTAAAAGAGATCGTTATTTCTTGGTGAAAAATCAAAAAGTTTCAAATATCGTTTAAAGATTTGTGTTCTTCCCTATTAACTATAAATAGACTTTAGAGCCAAGTTATTGTTGATGTTACAAAATGTTATAATATGTTTACCTTATTTATTTTAAAAAACACAATAGCGTACAATGGCGGACTTAACACCATTAGGTGCTCCCTACCAGTCAACCAACAAGTAAATAGTGAACGTAAGTATATGCGAAAGAGTCAAATGAGAAGTAGTGAAAAATAATATTATTTAAAAATGTAAATATACACGTATATTAATCTATATATATGTATAGTATATATACAATACATATACATTTAAACACATACTCAAATATGTACAAACCTAAATAGTATTAGAGAATTATGTCAATAATATTATCGATATGTTTACATGTAACTCACCACAATTTTTCAAAATATATTAACTGTGATAATGCCTCACAACAGTGTTCTCTGTTGCACGAATGGGGAGGTCCATTCGGGTAAGTACCGTGGTACTTACCCCCGTTTTACCCTCTGGGTGCGGAACCCTAAAAAACCATACACATCGTTACGAAATATACGCACCTCAGCCTCATCAAAGTGCAAACATTTATCTAAGAAGTTTTCATTTATTTTAACAAATTGAAAATGATTAATTAAGTTTCCTTCTTTTATTTCAAATCTTAAATGAATACGAAACGAAAACTCAGTTAAGTGCAATTCTAAGTTCAGAGACGACTGTTGCATTAAAATTGTGATTTGAATCAAACTTAGTGCAATTGTTACCGGAGCTGAGGCGAATTTCAGTTAGAGTTTTACTTTGTTTTGTTCCGCATCGTCTGAAACTGTTTCATAAACGTTTTTCAAACTTTGTACAATGCACTTTTGGAGTTTTCCCGTCTTGATTTATAAAGTAAAGTGAAAAGTAGAATGAAATGGTAATGGGTATAAGAACACAAAAGAATTCTGTAACCTAATCTTTCTACAGATAAATAGCAATTGGGTAGTGCATAGAAAATATTATCGAATAATTCATTAGTAGTATTCACAAAAATATAAATAGTATAAATAGTAAAATATAAATAGTATTCAGACGATAAGACTGGTAAAATAACCACTCTTTATTTTCTTGATTCTTCTTAGTATTACTTATCTCCACACTACTAAATGAAACTAATTATTATTCAAATCTATGGTATTTATTATTAATTTATTTCCCGCCGAAATCATCTTCACGCTTTAAATATTTTTGTTCAGCCCTTCAACTCCACACCGTTCTGATTTTATGCAATCAGATTTCTTGGCCAATCTATCCTTTTTTAGAATGCGTGTGTGTAAAGATTATGATATAAAAGTTTACTTGCATCCCAAGCACCCATTTGCTTATATTGAATACTGCTTTACATTTCTTTTGTATTATTTTATTCCATTAATATACTGTCATATTTCTTTTTATATTACTTTTTTTCTTTGAGACGTATGTACGCACCATCTGAATTAAGTTATCAATAATATGAATTTAATACTCAAATATTATTATCTCAGAGTGATGTGATAAAAAGGATAATAGTTGTTATATATTTCTAGTAATGTACCAAATATTGTTATTATCGCCTGTGTCACAGACGGTAACCTAAGAGGCCTTTGAGTTTAAAGAATAACTCACATGAGGCTTGACGTCTCGCAGGCGGCCGGTCGTTAAATACCTAACCAAAACAACACATGATTCATATTACATTGTGCCGACCCCATCTAGGTGGGATAAGGGCAGGAGCATGACGATAATGATTTGTTTAGACTGCACATCTGTCCTATGATCTAAAATGTTCTTTTCTGTCAATGAGATAGGTATTGGCTTCAAAAAAAGTGCATTTAAAAAAAAAAACCGGCGAAGTGCGAGTTGGACTCGCGCACAAACGGTTATCTTTAAAAACAGCAAAAAATCTTGTATGATGTAAGGGATTTGTATGTTTTGATTAGTATTTGTTGTTATATCGGCAACACGGTTCAGGAGATACAGCCTGGTGACAGACGGA